TCAAGGGACACATCACTCGCACACACACACCAGAACAACGGCACATCATGTAAAGAAAGACACGCTTTTAAAAATGAATATTTTTTGCTTCAAACAGTCTACAGGATGATGATAAAACCATCCTACAGTTTTTAAAACGGTCGCCTGCTGTCCTCGATATTTCTTATCACATCCGGACAGCGCTCATTACTTGTTATCATATCTGCCAGACCCAAATTGCAATAAACTAATATGTGGGGCTTTTTTTAAATACAAATAACGTAACACTATTAATATGTCTTGAACGTTTGAGATTCCGATGAAGGATGTCCCTCCTCCTTTAACACATGCCGCTATTTCGGCTCCTACAGTTTATATATATCATTCCGTATACGACGTTATTAGACCCCAATAACGCCAAGTACACCGCAAACGCCAGATTAGGTAATCATACAGACCCCAATAACGCCAAGTACATTGCAGGTTACGAATCCTCCCGACATCCGCTGATAACGCCAAGTACACCGCGAACGGTAATGATGTCATCTACTGATAAAGCCAAGTACACCGCAGGTTGCGAATCCTCCTGACATCTACTGATAACGCCAAGTACACAGCGAACGGTAACGAACCCGCCCGACATCTACTGATAACGCCTAGTACACCGCGAACGGTAACGAACCCTCCGTCTGACGTCATCTACTGATAACGCCAAGTACACCGCATTAGACCCGGCTACTGATAACCGCCAAGAACATCGCGGCTACTGATAAGCGCGCGGCCGCGTTGGGGGCCCTGGGGCGAAGCTCCTCGCGGGACATACTCGGGCATTGAGGCTGCTTACGTGGGGAATCCTACGCGGGGCACAGGGAGCAAAGCCTTGGGTGACGCGGGGCCCCAGGGGGTAAAGCCCTAGGGGCAAAGTCCTAAATGGGGAATCCTACGTGGAGGCCCCAAGGGGCAAATCTCTAGGTGCCGGTCCTGCGGGGTGGGGACAGCGCGGGGTCCCCGGCCCTAATTTTAAATTTACCGACAAAAAATGCCGCGCTCTGATTGGCTGGCGGGGAAGGGAAGGGGGAAGGGAAAAGGAGGAGGAGTGGGGGTGGTCTAAACCGACCCATTACCTACTCTTAAACGTTTTTCTCCTCCTCTTATGTAGTACCTCATCCCATGGTTCGTTTGTACATTGCAGCCACAATATATTACCTTTAAGGGAACCTAGTATTGTTACCTTTTTTATTTCTGTAAATACTTCTAAAGCTTCAAGCAGAATTTCTTTTACCTGAGGATTAGCGTCCCCTAAAGCACACATATATGTGTTACTGCTGTACAAATTATTACTACTGTTAAGACAATCAAAAAGTTTATCCATGAACATAATAAATTTTGCGGTGGCTGGTCGTGAACAGCTGTTTAATTCACCGGTGTCTATGACTATTTTTATAGTTGTAGCCACAGTTTTACTCATCAGTTGAGCAGCTAGTTTTATAGAGAGTTTCTGAAAAGAATTAGGATGAAGATGCCTGTAGTTTTTAAGTGGGCTCGACCCGTTTCAGATTTCATGTCAATGTCATAAGTGTTCATTATAGTGTTAAAGTTGCAACTCGTGACTGTTCGAGACTTGGAAGACTTTAACACATTTATTTGTTAGATACACTTTATTGACTACCATATATGTTCAGTACAAGCTGTAACTACTAATACTACCGATGAGAGATCTCGTATGGATTTATATAAAGGAGGCCCTAGATCAGGGGTCTCCAAAGTATCCGGCCCGCAACAGCTAATGGCTAAAGCCTTGGTTTCCTAGAAGAAAGGTAGCTGTCACATGTTTGTATAGGCAAGTCTTGACGATGCATAGAAACGGCTGTATTACGGCCGCTAGTGAACGGCGCCGTTCTAGGAAACCATAGCTTTTTAGTGCCGTTTCACATGAGGCGTGGAACGCGCCATGCGTCGTGCGCTCGAGCGTTTTTGGCATTGGATTGGATGTGAGTGTGCCGTCGCTGCTACACGCTCGCAGTGAGGCCTCACATTCTGTTCAATGCCAACCAACGTTACTAGCGTGCGACGTGGAGCGCGGTCTGCGCCTCGTGTGACGGCGGCACTTGTGATAAGTTGGATAAAAAAAAACACGGAGTGGCAATAACTCGGTTTTATTTACTTGCTAGGTAAAGCTTAATGACAAGTATAATACGCAGAAAATTTAACTTTACGACAATATCTAATGAATAATTGAAATAAATCCAACTAACATTCTAAATATATATAAACATTATGACATATAAAATACTAATGAGATTTATGTAGTTGTGATTTTCCACTGACAATAGTTTGTAGTTGTGGACCAATTTTACTTGTACTAATTATTAAAAGAGATTTAAGTTGCTCATCCGTTAACTTAGATCTGTAAACATTCTTTACGTACTTCATTTTGGATAATGTTTTCTCACACAAGTAAGTAGTACCAAAAACAGAAAACAGCCCACGAGCAAATTTTTGCAAATATCAAATTGTGCCAGTGGAAGACTTATAAAATTCCAACAAAGATGAGTTTTGATATTTGTTTTTAAATATATCACTGCACTGTAGATCAGTAATTTCCATTTGCAGTTATGGGGCTAGGGTTTCAATGTCGGTATGAAAAGGATTTTTGAAAAATCTTAATTGTATTCGCAATGACATCGAAGTCTGAGAAACTGGTTCAGACCTGTTTTTAAGCATAAACTGTAACCTGATATATTATTTCCTTTATAATTGCAGTGTTAGCAAAAATTCTAACCTAATATGAAGGCTTGCTAGTAAACCTAGCATGAGCCTTTTTGGCTCAGTGGTAGAGCACTGGTCTTGTCAATCAGGGGTCGTGAGTTCAAATCTCACAGGAGGCAATTACATTTTTTCCTTTCAGAAACCATATGTTAAACTAGGTGTCTTGTGGTTTGAAATATAATTTTTAACGTTAAGTATAATATGTAAACGATTAGTTAAGTTGTTATTAGCTTATTGGAATGCAGGAAGTTACCAAGGTTATCAAATATAAAAGACATGTTAGACTTAACATTTTAATTTATTAGTTATATCAGACAGTACATTAGTTTGAGAAAAGTAAAGATATTCACGTAGAGCGTTACTTAATATACTATCATTAGATACATCACAAAAAGAATTTATAATTTCATATATACTTAGAGAAATGTTTTTAGACTTTTTCCAATCATTTACAATATTTAATACATTATAATAGTACATACAAAATTCCAACGAATCTACCATAGTTATTCTATGATAAATCACACAAGTATCGAGTTTTAACAGTACTTCCACATCGTGAAGGAAAATATCGATGCGTATGTTGTATTTTATGATCTGCACCATTTTCATATTTTCATAGACTACTTGGGTAACTGTAGTGTAATCTCCACAACGATGAGTCACAAGTTCATACTCATCGGGCCAATCTTGCAGGGGTGTTTGGAAGAAATCTTTTTCAAACGTTCCAGTAGCTCCAAGAGAGTTTGCCGTTCATAATTTGAAAATGATAATTTATTGCCATTACCATTCCTTATAATTATTGCGAATCTGAAGGATCTAGCTGGACTTAATCCACACTGTATTTGAATGTTGACATTAGATATTTGTGGAAAAACTACTAGTTAGCAAGTAAATCTGCTCCCGCAGCTTCTTTAAACAATTTGCAGTGTTAGTAAACATTGTAACTTGAGAGTCTATTTCCATTAATACTAACATTACGGATACCTGCGTTTCATTCTTATTAATGTTATAACTGGTTCTTTGCGTTGTAAGATGGCTCTGACAATCAACAGGTAGAATATTTACCGGAAGCTTTTTCAAATAACACAACTCTTTTAACTTTATAGAGATTGTCTAATTGGCGCTGAATGTGTAATATCACAAAAGGGATATCGATATAAAAAATGTTATTTTTAATTATGTTAACATTATTGAATCTTGTTATGAGGAATTAAAATTTATAGGTGATGTCAACATTTTGATTGTAATAATTTTTATAAAAGAAATTATGCTAAGTGCTGTCCCTAAAAATATAATTTATAAAATTAGGTACTTACCTTGCAATCTTCATGCTGCAATTTTATCAGTTTTCTCGTACTAACATATGAAAAGAATAATAAAAACAAAATAAAACTATTGTTTAATCGAACAAGTATGAAACTGCTGTTAAATATACAACATATTTGTTTAAATGGTATATGGAACAGTTGTTAACTAAAAAGACAGATAACTGGTTTAACATCATTTTTATTCTGAAGAAAAGAGGTGAGTATCATATATAGGGAGATATTTCATCAATAAAGTCAGTTCAACGATCCGTGTAATAACATGAAACAAATTACATAGCTACAGTATATATATATATATATGCGTGTGTGTGTGTTTACATACCAACCCACAATATTATATATTGTGCTCTATTACACTCTGCCTCGAGGGTATAACTCACCCTCCGGATTATTCCCGAGGGTGTACACACGTTATCGATGAATATCGCCTCTGGTGGCGCAGCATGTTTAACAACGAGGAAGTCATCCTAAAATTTTAAATAAGTAAATAATTAGAAAATAAAATTTATATGTAACTTACAACAGCAATATGTGATATATATATTCCTGCATCCAGCAGGTGATGTAAGCTGCATCTACTGAAGGAGGAAAAATTTTTAAATCATTACATCACAGACTGAAGTGTGTGTGAATCTTTAAGGATAATTTTTTCTTTAACCATAGTCGGCAAAATCATAGTACACTGCATTATAACTATAGATTAGACTACCTTTTGCAGACTAATTTTTTTAGTCTCAAAAAAGAGCCAAAGATGTTTTTTTAGTATAGCACTAATGCTTATAAGAAATTTATTAATTCATAGCAGAATAGTATTCTCAGATTAAAAATTATAAAAGAATGTAAAAGCATATGTAAATGTCAAACACCTGTCATCGTATGCTCTCTGGACATCAGCCGGTTACTTGATTGTTTTTGATTGTACTATTGTTTGAACTTGGCCAGCCACCCACTACTAGCGTTGAAATCAGGAGACCCATTAAGTTGTTTATTAAAATCTAGAGCCTTTTCACAAAGAAGCGGGCCTGATATTGGTTCACCTAAGCTCCTTCTTTGTGTAAACCATAAATATAAGGCAGCCTCAAGAGCCATATTATTGGCTAATTTTAATCTTTTTCTATTTTTAGGTCCCTCATTGCTATCTTGTTGGGATGCATATTTCAAGATAGCATCTTGTTTAGACTTTATGTCCGTAATTGTAGACTTACCGACACCAAACTCTCGGGCTAATGCCGCTCCGCTTTCACCTTTCTTAAGTTTTTCCAGGATTTGAAGTTTATCCTCTATGTTCAGTGTCTTGTGTTTTCTTTTAAACGACGCTTGTGAAGCCATTTTACTTGAAATTACAGTACACAAGTTAATGTTTCACTGGTTCATTAAACAGCGAATTTCGAAAATAAAAACCAAAACAGGCACAATGACAACACACACGATGCAATGTTTACTACGGTGATGCTCTGTTTACTGTAGCAGTTAGAGAGCGATTCTGATTACATACTATTTTTATTTTTCCCAAAACGGCGTTCGGATTACAGGGGTTCGAATTATCGATGTTCTACTGTAGTTAGAAAATAAAAATATTTGTATTGAATTAACACTTGTTCACTCTACCCCGTACAATATGTTGTAAAATAAATCCTTAAATACTATATTTTTTGTTCCAAGCAAATGATGCAGTGAATGTTTTGTCATAGTTTTTCTCCTGAAACTTATAAACAATTTTTATCGGGCCTTGTATATACACTGAATCTGAAGACAAATAATTTTGAACATTTTATTACTGAATAATCCAAAGCTTATCTAATAACATGGATATTGTCATGCTATCTGCAAAGATGTCCGCAGAAAAACATGAAAACGGATACAAAAGAATCTATCAAACCAACAAGGTTTTAGATACTGAAATCTATGAAAATATCTATTTTTGTAAATGTACCTCCACATGTAAGTAATTTTATGACGTATACTTTTATAGTCATACATATAAAATTGTTTATTTTTATTTGTAAGTATGTGAAAAATTTGTTCAAATATAGGGTTAGGATAACTGAAAATGCATATACATCAAGGATTTTATTTGTGTGCTTAGTTTTGTTCTACATTTCTTGTAACAAAAAATTGTTTATTGTGTCAGTAAAAGTAGAAGTAAAAAGTTGTAAGCAAGCACCAAATATTTAACGAAAATATTTTATTGTCTCATAGAAGTTTCGATTGGTAAGAAAAAAACAAATGTTGATAACAATATATTTTTATTTCTAGAAAAATTTATATACAAATAATAATATTAATAAAAATAACCTAAAATATAACAAACTAAAATCTGATTATATGTACATAGAAAAAAGTTACAAAAAGAGTTTTGCTGAACTCAATGACTAAGGAAATAACTATTTTTTTGTTTTGGGTCACCATTCCCCTTATCCGCTTCACTGAAGCGGTATTGGAACACTTTCTTCTTTCCAGATAAAGTTCTCGCTCGTCGAGAAGCCGCAATTGCTCCCTGAGCGCCTCCCTCTGCTCACGAAGAAATCATTCCTCACCCTTCAGCGTCACGGTGAGCTCTTCCTCTCTTCGCAACTTTTTTCTTAATTGCTCCATTTCCCTGGCCTTTCGTTGAGCCCATTCAGCCCTCCGTTGGGCTTCCTTCTCCCTCCGTCGCCTCTCTTCCGCCAAGGAAGCCGCCCAGTCATCCTCGACAATGGAATTAGTTGCCGGAGTAGCTGGCTCAGGGGACGGCGATGTTGATGCCCATCGGAGGCTCCTCGATGGCGATTGGAGACGCCGAAGGGTATCTATATTTTTCCCATACAATAGAAAATAAAGGATATTAATACATATATCTTTTCTAGAATTTTTTTTCTCAATTTATTTAAAAAAATATTTACCCAGTTGAAGCCGAAGGAACATTTCTAAAATCAGAATCATCCGGTTCCGCCCTTTTTCTTTTCGGGGTGGTAGCCTTGGAGATACTCGGCTGTACCTCCAGAACCACCTCTGCGATTTCCGACAGCTCCTCCATCTCCCCGGAGATGCTGCAAGGAAAGGAAAAAAAATGTTAATAAAAACGAATCAAACTCATTAGACTATTGTACAAAAACAACAGAATGAGATTGCAATATGTATAGGAATAAAAAAAAACTTACGTTTCATTGATCATGGCATCAATACTGAGCGGATGCTTCTGGAGCTCTTTCCTGGCTTCTGGTTATAGCGAGCACATTGTTGTTGGATGCATAGCGACGATGTAGTCTAGCCTGGTATTCGTACAAGACTAAATATATTCAACGGACGCTTGCATACATATANATCAATCAAGGGACACATCACTCGCACACACACACACCAGAACAACGGCACATCATGTAAAGAAAGACTCGCTTTTAAAAATGAATATTTTTTGCTTCAAACAGTCTACAGGATGATGATAAAACCATCCTACAGTTTTTAAAACGGACGTAAATTGTCCATTTGTTATCCGATTTTTAGTAAGGTGAGAAAATTATCCGCCATCATCTCACAATTATCAGCCAATTGGCAACGCTGCTTGTCTGGATGGCATCCGTGCAGCGATGTCCCCCACTCCCGCATGCGCCTTGAGCGCACAAGGCTGTTATATAGGGTGGCGCAAACACCGTTTCATCTTCCACTGTTAGTATAATTTCTTCCACATTTTCTAATTCTTCCTCCATATCTCTCCCTTCTGTATTTTCTATTTCAGCATTATTTTCAATAACTCTAAGTGAATCACCATCAAATTTATTGTATATCCATACAGACTTTTTTATTTATTATTGACATAGTTAGGTCATAAGTAGGATCATTACAAGTGTTTACTCCGGAGCCTCCACCTGTTGCATACAAAATTATGCGTTCCTCTGCAGCTTTCTTTCGAATATTTTTTTTTTATTTTCATAAAACTTCCTTAAATGATCCATCATTCTTCTATGAATTGAAGGACAATTTGCATGAAATTCATTTGAAAGTCTTATCCATGCGTCATCTTTCTCTCGCCAGCTAACCGCGTCAGTTTTTTTACATTCCAAGATGTGTGAATACTTTTTTACTATGAGTATATTTAACAAGAGAATCTTCTCCGGTAAAATTCGCGAGACGCGCTCTTTTTTCAGATATCGTTTAAACTGAATAAATGCACACTTCTAAATCGGGGATTTATAAATTGTTCAGCAGGAACAATGAGCGTCAAGATGCGTAAACTTGCTAATGCAGGAGGTTGCCATTTTTTACAAAAACTAGCACTTTTTCCATATTTCTCTGCTAACTTGTTGCATTCTTCTTCAGAATGAAATCTCTCCATGCCATATACAGCCTCGTGTTCTGAATAAACTGCAGATTTTGAAATTGTTGCAACAGATGCTGCACACCGCTCTTTTCAACTTCTTGTATGTAACACATCCACATGATTGAACTATTTGACTGAATTTACTTAGTATCGGGTCAGTTGTTATAGGCAATCTTCTACCGATAGCCCAGAGCTAACCAGTTACAAGACCAGTTTAACCGGTCTGGTTCGGAAACCTGATCAGTCTATTATCATTTTATAAGACCAGATAAACCGGTTAAGTTAAGGCTTTAGATACAAGGGAGACTGTATTACATTACCAGATCAGTTTAAAAATTTCTAATTAGAAACGCACACAACTTTACATTAAATTTGAAATGAAATATGAACTAAAAAATACGTACTTTAAATTAAATCGAAAAGAGTCGATAAAGCGAAACTTTACCAGCGAATCTGTTGATGATTTAGTGAACGAAATGTATTTTTCTTTATTTATAGGCAATAAGGGGAGCCTGATAAAGAAAGAAACTCCGTGACTCATTTCAAATTTGTTAATGTTTAATTCCAAACTAATAATTTTGTTTAAGGCCCATCTTTTTCCTGGAACTCTTCCAGTTTGTTTAAAATTTTATCAATTACATTTTCTTGAAACCAAACTTTTAGATTCGTCCCCAAATCTATTACAGCATTTTTTGTGTTAAAATATTTAAAATCTGAAATTGTTTCGTTTGAATTAGCTTTAGCTTTAATAAATTCTCTACAAAAAGCAGTGTTAATTTTTATGGTTGGGTGAGTCGTCAGAATTCCTGATATTCTATTCTTAAATAAGAAATGATTTTTACTAGGATTTTTTCGTTAAGAGTTTAAGATTAATTTTAATGGTTTTTACTGGAATTTTTGAAATTGAAACGATATGATTTTTATCTGATTTCTTTTCAGTTAGAAGCTTTTGATATTTTTTCCTGTTTTTAATTAAATTTACGGGGTTTTGAAATTGAAATAATATGATATTTTTATGAATAGTTCCAAGTTTTTAATGTAGTTTAGATTAATGATTTTTAATTGGATTTTTTCGTAAAGAGTTTAAGATTAATGCTTTAAATGATTTTTACTGGAATTTTTTCGTTAAGAGTTTAAGATTNACCGAAACTGTAGATGAACTACGTACTTGTTTGAGACCTTTGTTGAAATTAGAAAAAAAAATACGTCGTTAAATTACCCTGAGTATAGTCTAAATGTAGATGATGAATCAAAGATAATCCGTAGTAAAAATCAAAAGCTACAGATATTTTTCTAGAGATTTTTAGATTTTTTTTTAATTTATTTAAAAAAATATTATTTACCCAGTTGAAGCCGAAGCGGCATTTCTAAAATCGGAATCATCCGGTTCCGCCCTTTTTCTTTTCGGGGTGGCAGCCTTAGAGATACTCGGCTGTACCTCCAGAACCTCCTCCAGAACCACCTATGCAATTTCCGACAGATCCTCCAACTCTCCGGAGATGCTGCAAGGTACGGAAAAAAATGTTAATGAAAACGAATCAAATTTATTAAACTGTTATACAAAAACAACAGAATATGATTGAAATATGTATAGGAATAACAAAACTTACGTTTCATTGATCATGGCATCAACACTGAGCGGATGCCCCTGGAGCTCTTCCCTGGCCTCTGATGATAGCGAGCACATTGTTGTTGGATGCATAGCGACGATGTAGTCTAGCCTGGTATTATCAAATTATTGCAACTTGCAGATTCCAGCAGCATTCTGCGAATTCCCTTGAACTGTACAGGTTGCTTAACTCACGATTGTAATTTCATACCTACAGATTCCAGCAGCAGCAGCAGCATCCGGTGAATTCCCATGAACTGTACAGTCAATATACGCTAGTAGTTTCTTATCAGAATAATGATAAATGTCCCAATAGCGTATTTAACCAAACGTTGTAAAAATTAATTTCTTCCAATAAATGATTTTTACATTTTAAATAATGTTATATCTGGTAACACATTAATTGGACTCCATAATAAATAT